CAGCGGTCCGAACGTCATGGCGAAACTTGCGAATGAAGCTCTAATGGAAGCTGTTGACAGCGGCTGCCTTCGAGGCGTGAAAGCAGCCCTGAAACAGTGAAAGCAGGTAAGCTAGTCTACATACAAGGCACCCTGAGGTTTCAACATTGTACTCCTGTGACATACTAGCTATTCATTAGTCTATTTCTACAAATTTTCCAACAAAAAAACAACAAAAAAACTAAACAAATATCCAAGCAGATTTCTTCGGGGGGCAGTTAATTGCCTCCCTACGGGGGCTATTCATTTGTCAATGGTCACAGGCGGCCTTCCTTGCGTCCAAAGCCTGGTATAGGGAAAGAGGGAAAGAAACTACCTCCCAAGCTCTGGCCTGGGTAGTCAGTCCATGGTACGGAGGTGGTAACTCTGGCTACCGAAGCTCCAAGACTCAAGAACTCGGTACATACGTAGAATGCAGATTAAAACTAGAAAGGCCAATATTTGCTTTGGAGCAAATACAGCGATGGGTTCACCACATTTTACGACGTCATGGCAGGGAAAGAATGAGAAACACAAGGGAAAACAATGATTTACATTGATATAACTATAATATGAAGTAACATACAACTAAAACAACAGTTGGATAGCTATTTCCTACTTTATTGGTTAGGATTTTTAATTGCATAATGCAAACTGTTGATTTTCAAAATAAATAAAAAAACGTTCATGCCCCGCATTCCAATGCTGGAGCAGAAAAGCTTGAAATACCTACCAAAACACTTGAATAAAGACATACTGTCAGTATGGAAATCTCTGTGCAGGTGTTAATCAAGTTAAATCCCAACAGCCAATCAGCAAGAAATGCTCTGTGCAGGTGGAAATGCTCTGTGCTTGTGTTAATCAAGTTAAATCCCAACAGCCAATCAGCAAGAAGTATAGAGGAAAGCTGCATGCCTATTGGTTGATGCCCTGCATTCCATTGTGATGACTCATGCCCAGACGTGGTAAACACGGTACACTAACACAGTAATACATTTGCTATAATACAGCCAAAAAACTCAAATAAAACCATTCTAAAAGCTTGTATCACAATAATTTTAAAAACGCCTAGGGGTATTTGCCCACTGTACCTCCATACCAAATTTCAGGACCTTGGGCCCTAAAATGAAGAAGCTGAATCCATTTAAAAAATGGCAGGAGGAGAAGGAGGAGGAGAAGAAGAAGAAACATCAGAAAAAGCAATATGGTTTCACCACACCACCACCCATAAAAATCCGTAAAAAGCCAGCATGTGCCTGCTTGTCATATACGTCGCTATGTGCTGCCGCAAATTCACAATACCAGCTTTGTATTCCTGTGGTTTAGCTGCATTTTTATTTTTGGCTGGCTTTTGTTTTATTCGCCCGCGCGCACTAGTTTGGGGGTCTAAGGAGGATGTCATCCATAGAATTAAGACGGTGCTTAACAATGCAGGATGCCATTGGTACATCACGATCTTGGAATAGCCGTATGTCTGTGTGTGTGTGTGTGTCCGCATTCATGTCAGTGTTTCTGCATGGTCCTTACGTCACGTTATAATGGATATACATGGGTTCAGTCTGTGGTACAGGGAGAAAGTTAACCAGTTTCTCAAGTGTTTTTTGGGGGGTGACCTCCTTTACAGCTTTGCATTGTTTCCCTTGAACACTGTATGATAAAGAAAGACTTGTAGACAATAAGGAGAATGAGAAGAGGAAACAGTCACCATCACACAATATCTAAATATTTCAAGGTCTGGGATCTCTGAATTCTTGTTAATATGTAGATGTCATCCAAAATCTGGATTTCTATGAGTGACATTATACATACAGGGTTTAATATGTGTACAAAGTATATTTTGGAAGATTAGTAAGGTCCATAATGCATCACATTTTTGCGTTGGCGACCGCAAACGGTCACAACCGCAATAAGATGAGTCGGAACTTTGGACCGTTCCTTCGATCGTTCCTTGGATCCTTTAATGGTTCAACGGACTATGCCATAGCCTTGCTCCTATTCCTACAGTCCTTTCCTGGTCTCATATGCTCGAATCGCTAAAACTGTGCTACAATAATATAAAAAGCTCACACAGCAATAAGTCTGACAAAGGAATACATTTTATAATATGATTTTAAATGTTGCTGACGCGAGTCATAAACTGGCAAAAAAAACGCACTGTTCGTCTGGCCATATATTATGTTAATTGCCTGCAGTACCGCCTATGCTCGCCAGGGGACATAATGTACTACTAGTAGTATGTGTGAGCGCAAGGAACCTCCTTGGTGTGCATAATATTTATTGTTAAAACCCTTAGCTGTGTACATGCCCTGTGTGCGGGTCCATGTACATGTACAGTATTCGGAATGGCGGTATTTCCCGGGCGAAAACATAGTGGCACTGTGAAGCGCGGCCAGTCAGTCAAACCCGGAAGTCAGTCAAAGACGGTGGAAAAGGTCAGGGGTCAAATGGCATTACATCAACACAATTCCTTGCGGCTGTCGTGTGCCGAGCTTTCTATTTGTTTTTAGTGTCTTTTCGGCGATAAAGTTCTGATTTTAGTCGCGAAATGGCAAGGGTACCGAAGTAACGGGTTCCTCACTGGCCGCCCAGTGCGGAACTCACGGGGAAAGTGGCGTCGACACTCGGGGCCCTGTGCGGAAGAAAGCTCCGCACTGGAATCCTAGTGCAGAAACACCGTCAGGACTGGAAGTCCAGAGCTGAATCTTGACTCAGCACTCGTTTTCCAGTGCTAACTTCCACTCAGCACTCGTTTGCCAGAGCTCGGAGGCCGTTCACCACTGGATAGCCAGTGCTGAATTCCACTCGGCACTCGGTACCAGTGCTCGGAGGCCGTTCACCACTGGATAGCAAGTGCCGAAGTCCCTAAGTAACGGGTTCCTCACTGGATCGTTCCAGTGCTCGGTAACTCTTGGTGCTGGAATCCGAGTTCTCAAATCATTTCGGCACTGGGCCTCTGGTGCTTACGTCGGCCGCGCGGCGTACAGTACAGTATCGTAGGCCAAGTCTATGTCTGTGAAAATGTGAGGATCTGAGCCTTGCAGTACGATCTCGAAAATTTAAGTGTTAGAGTTCAAAGGCGGCATCTCGGTACTTTCTAAAGACAACGTTTGATTTGCCGATTTGGAGTTTCCAGTGCTGAAGCCGCCGACACTGGGCACCAAGTGTTGACGTACCTTCGGCACTGGAGATCTAGGACGGAAGCCGCCTCACCTCTGTATACCGAGTGCTGAGAAAGGAACCCGTTACTTCGGTACTTTTGCTCTACCGCGAAATGTCCGGATTTACGCTAAAAAATACGTGCTTGGGGACCTTGATAGCATTAATTTTAGGGAAATTTATCCTTCCCTCGGCGAGGATTCTCCAGAAAGTACCGACGTTGTGGGGAGCACACGGAACAAAATTATCGCCCTGATGCCAGTAATGGGAATTTTTACTTACTAGTAGTACGTAGGAGTTTGAGAACTTGGTGTCCGCCGCGGAGTCGACAGTGGTCCGCGATTTTGCAAACGAGGTAGACGTAGGAGGCGAGGAGTATGATGCACCTTATTTTAGAGCTCCAGAAAGGAGAATACCGTCCTTGTAATATATTAGCGTTTCAGCTAAATAGCCAGTTCAGCACCCAGGGCAGTCTGTAGTCATAAAATTCACCAGTAGTAATACGGTCTCCATTCCTTTTATTCAATGAAAGTATTTCTATGTTGTCAGAATTTGCCAGGAACTGTTTATTCCAAGTGTAAGTGATTTTGTGTGTACTTGAGTGAATTGTATTGAAACCATTGTGGAAAATGTGTATTTTATTAAAATAAAATCTAAACTAAACTACCTACATGCCAATAGTAAAAATCCCTTCATACTAACACACAAAATGTATATGTGTATGTAGGGGAGCTAGATTTCAATCAAAGGTCATATCATCACTTCAAAGAAAAAGCACATTTGCTGCATACAATTTTGTTGTGCAAAAATACCACACCAGCAAACGCCTGCTTTTTTAAAAGCACTTGTTTAATCTCCAAGCAGATCCCTTTCGGTGGCAAAAAGACAGTACCAAATTGGCCAGGCAATATCCATTAGCCAGAGAAGGTGGGATTAAAAACAAAAAACAGCCATACATGTCTATAAAAAGCTAACAATCCATTCCCCCACAACCTCTGCTTGGAGAGTACACATTCTATACAGAACCAACAGTTCAAAAAGGAAAGAACACACAAAAGTCTATGGAACATACTTTATTTTCTAACTTAACATCACCCCAGCCAAAAGTAATATTTTTGCCCTTACTTTTGGAGATAATCTCCAGTTACAGATGTACCTGTACGAAGGTCTAGTGATGGGTCGTCCTTGGGAGACACCTCAGCTTATTATCTTGTCACTAAATTATTCTCAAGTTGAAATTATTCTCAAATTGAAAATCACTGTCTCTTCACTATTGTAAGATCTTGACTGGTTCAATATCAGTAAAGCTCCTGTCACACAGTCAATGATGGCCTCCCGAAGAGTGGCCAAACTCCCGCAAACATGGTTAGGAGTAGGTCAGTAGCAAGGTCGGCTGGTGTTCGGCCATGTTGCCCTAAGGCCACACCAATTTAATTTCTTGGTTAACGGATTTTTCTAGAAAAATAATGGAGCGGGTGGGCAAAAAAGAAATAGAAATAAGAACAGGCCTAGGCATCCTATTATGGCCCAAAATGGTACAATAGAAGAAATTTAATTTCTTGGTTAACGGATTTGCCCGCTTCATTTTTTTCTGATTTGCAAATAAAAATAAACATTCAGAATCAACTGCAAAATGCTCATATTTTGCCCTGAACAGCTGAAAACAGTCCTTTTCATCCTAGTTGTTACAGTTATTCCATCTTTCAATGCAATGGTATCATTAAAAGTTCAAAATTCATTGTTTAAATTTTGGACCAGCCTGGTGTGTTGACTTCATGGCTCCTATCATACCATTTTGGGCCATAATAGGATGCCTAGGTCTGTTGTTTTTTTTTTTTCGCCCGCCCGCTCCATTATTTTTCTAGGAAAATCTGTTAACCAACAAATTAAATTGGTGTGGCCTTATGAATGTGTTACAGGGACTTAACTAAATTCTTCTTCTAATATTCTATCATGAGTTTTCACCAGAATTCCATTATCGACCTCTAGCCATATACCACACATAAGAATGGCAATCATTTGTACATCCAAGTCAAAATATGTGCTGATTCTAGCAACTGTGATATTGAACAGCAAAATTCCATTCAGGTATGGGGCGATGTTACAGTAAAGCACAATGTTGGTGAACTGAAATTGCCATTTGCAAAACAGTATGAGATGTTTCAACCTTGTGGCAACGAAATACTTAAGGCAACAAAACTTTCTCAATGACAGGACAGATTACTAGTATGATTTAGGCATAAAACACTTAACAATGTAGAGATTTTGTCGATACACCCGTAACAATTAGTAACAAAATAAGTTGTACTACTGGTAGACTTTAAGACAAGACATAATTCTGTTTCCCAGAGAAACCTACACGCAGATTCTAGTGGTACTCTAAGTCACCCTCCCACATTTTGTCCTGTCCATTTGTGAGGTACATGAACATGACTGCAGCTGTTCCAGTAATCTTACTCTCCAAACTTGATCCCTTGAGCCAGAGGAAGCTCCTTTCCATAGTTGATAGTGCTGAAAAAAGATGAAACAAACATCTCATTTAATTTCAATGGATGACATCCACGCATATTGATTTTTGCCTGTTCTCAAAAAATATATACATATATTACCTCCTCCAAGGATCTGGCCTGGGTCATCCTCCGTAGTCCATGGTAGCTAACAGTAACAATAGGGAGCTGGTGGTAACTATGGAGGATGGCACCCAGGCTGCCAAAGCTCCACAGAACTGAAGAACCCAGCACAGTGCCAACTCATAAATGCCGCAAAAGGCCAGCATGTGCCGGCATGATGTAAAAGTAGTCATGTACTACCGCAAATTCACAATACCAGCTTTGTATTCCTGTGGTTTAGCAGCATTTTTGGGGGCTGGCATTTTTTTATTCGCCCTCAAACACTAATTTGGGTGTCTTCAGAGATGTCATCCATGACTGACTTAAAAGTCAGTGTGGCCTTATCGTGAAAAAACAACAACAGAAAAGTGACTACTTGGCATGCACATACTCTGACCGGAGCAAATTCCCAGAATTTTTCAGAACTGGACATATAACGTAGTAAAAGGCTCCGCCCTGAGGCATCACCAAAAAACAGATCATAGAAACATCCTCACCATGTGGCTCTCCTCATGTACTGCTTCCAGGCGTCACTGCCAGACTCCCGCCCCCCTCCCGTGTGCTTCTCCCCACCAAACGCTCCGCCGATCTCCGCACCGCTGGTCGGAATGTTCACGTTCACAATTCCACAGTCCGAACCCTTTGGACTGCAGTAAATTAATAAGGAATACATTTTCTTACAAACCATATAATATACAACTCTGAAATATGATTAAAAAATCATATTACAAAAAGATTATCCTGAAGAGTTTCAAAATTAGCCAGTGACTAGTAAATCTCTAGATCCAACTGCCCACTGCTAAACTAAGGCACCGCACACTATGGAGCTAAACCACTCACCCGATCCACTTGAAGACATTTCCCAGGTTCCCTGTGAAGATACTACTGGACAATCCCTGTTTCACCTCGTTATTCCAGGCTATGGCCTCCTCCATACTCTGTAAGGGAAATACTGTTAATACTGATACTTATTGCTTTTGTCATATAGTCACATATTTGTCATTATAGTGGGGTCGTGTGGCGCAGTCGGTAGCGCGTTCTGGCGAACCCCGTCTGTATCAGCCAAATCTTGGAGAGGACATAGGCGCCGCCAAGATTATAAGCCTACTGAAACATCATGGCAAGTCCAGACATGCTGCTGGCTGCCATGATGGCCCTACAACCGCTCACGGTTATGGGACTTACATACATAACGTTACATACATACATTGCTTTTGTCAAGAAAGGTATGTTTTCGAGCCTGGTGGAGAAGCTGTGGTGTGTGTCTGTGTTAAGGCCCTAAACTCTCTGTACTAAACCAGTTAGGGGCCTTTTGCAATGTAAACTATTATTTTTATCTTGTTCAATTAGAAAATGCGAAAATCCTAGGGGAGTCTGGCATTCTTTTCCTTGACCCTCTGAAATCTTGACCATCTGAAATTATATTTCGTGCATTTTGAGGGGCAAATTTTGCTTGTAGGCTAAGCTTAGTTTCAGGACAAATATTTCAATATCTTTACACACCAATTATTGTCTGTCAAAGATGACATGACAGATTTGGCAAAGTTTTTGCCCGTCATCAGTGGCAAAATTCCATCACATGATGGAAAGATGTTTGCTAGAACAACCATACAGCACGAGAATCATGACCAATTTCATACTTACTTTACTTACTTACTTTGGTCGAGCTCCCATGCTTAAACTGAAGCATGCCCCATCCCTCTCTGTCCTCCATGTCAGATTTCCCCTATTTCAGTTAAACTGGTGTCTGATCTGAGGTACTTAATCCTAGGTCTCCCTCGACTTCTTTGGCCTTTTGTATAGGTTCCCAAAGGACAAGCTTGGATACTACAATGTCAGGATGTCTGACGCAGTGTGCAGCTAGTTTCATTCTGCATGTTTTGATTTTCTCTGTAATTGCAGGCAAATCCTGATATAGCTACTTGTTGGGGACTTTTCTGTTTTCATACCTTAAGGTTAGAAATTACTGTGAATGAACTGGACTTCATTGTGCTTAGTACAATCAGTACAAAAGAAATGTGTGCTTGCCTTTGTTTTCAGGGCATATACAATGGGTGCGAATGTCTCCCTGTGTACCACTTCTGCATCATGGGGGAGACCAGTCACTATGGTGGGCTCCACATAGTAGCCAGGCCGGTCCACAACCTACAAGGACAAGTACACACATGAAAACCAAGGCAAAATTAGCATGAAATCCCCCTTAGGCCACACCAATATAATTTCTTGGTTAACGGATTTTTCTTTAAAAAAAATGGAGCAGGCAGGCGAAAATAAAACAAACAATAAAAACAGGCCTAGGCATCCTATTATGGCCCAAAATGGTACGATAGGAGCCATGAAGTCAACACACCAGGCTGGTCCAAAATTTAAACAATGAATTTTGAACTTTTCATGATAATATTGCATTGAAAGATGGAATAACTGTAACAACTATGATGAAAAGGACTGTTTTCAACTGTTCAGGGCAAAATATGAGCATTTTGCAGTTGATTCTGAATTTTTATTTTTATTTGCAAATCAGAAAAAAATGAAGCGGGTGAATCCGTTAACCAAGAAATTAAATTGGTGTGGCCTTACTTCTGATACATGTATGCTATGGCCTAGGAACATAAACATTGTGTTTCCTATTATGGTCCTGGAAAAAATAGGGTTGGTAGGTAGGAATTCATTTATTTTCTTTAAATCTTTTTTTTTTACATTATGGCCAAAGTGATCACACAAATTCAGTTAATATAACACTAAAATGCAACAGTAAACAAGTACACTGTACTTGTTTTTTCATTACTAATTGAACCAAAACGTTAAGTTTTTAAGTTCAAATTCAGTCCAGTGCACCAGTACGCACCACTATGCCAGATCCAACATTTTATGTCTCTCATTGGAAGCCCCCCTACATTTTTTCATAGGCCTGATAAAGAGCAACACACATGCACCCAAACAAACACACACACACACTTATACTCATACATGTATCTTCACTTAATAAAGACTTACAAACAGTTCTCCATGCAAACATCTGTAAAAGATAACAAAAACTACAAATAACACCACAGTGAAAGCACAGCTTGGTGCTGAATTTCTGTGGGTGAAAAAACAAGATTATGAAAATTAAAAATACATTGAATATTAATAAAAATATAAATCTTTTTTACTTCTTGATGACCCACAGGCCACTTCAAAGACTAGGCCACTCCAAGGTTAGAGGTTACATAAATCAGCCTGTAGCAGCAACTCTTCTCCCTAAGGCTACACTGATTTAATTTTATGGATGACATCCGCACACGCATTGATTTTCACATTCTCAAAACAAAACAAAATCACCTCCGTGGCTCTGGCCTGGGTACCATCCTCCATAGCCTATGGTAGCTGACAGTGACAATAGGGAGCTTGCAGAAACTATGGAAGATAGCACCCAGGCTGCCCAAGCTCCACAGAACTACAGTGCAGACTCATAAATGCTACAAAACGCCAGCATGTGCTGGCTTGTCTCAAAAGTCGCTACGTATACTACTGCAAATTTACAATATCACACATCAGCTTTGTAATCCCATGGAGGTTTTTAAGTCAGAATCATTGTGACTGGGGGAAGCTTGACTCACCGAGAGTGAAGACTAACTGACTCACTAGGAGAAGCAGGTGTTACGAAGGCTACTTGGTTTGTTCTATACTGGGGTACATATAAGTACCTAGTGGTATTCTACCTTTACTCACCTTTCCTCCACACTCCACTTTGCCACCCTGGGCTTTGGCATCTTCAATAGCCTTGTTGTACAGGTCCACCCCCTGTTGACTGTGCATGGGGCCATACAACACTCCATCTACATGTAACATGAGAGAATGGTAAACAACAGTGTGGTCTTGAGGTTAGGGTTGTTGATTCAGAATCTAAAGGTTATGGGTTGGAATCCCTGGCAGGCTGCATTGAAAAAAAACACTCAACACCTATTTGCTCACTTACTTCTTGGATGGAAAGTAAAACCAGACCTTGAGAATTTTAAAGACCGCACCACATTTATCAAAAAGAGCAGGGTGCTTTCTGATAAGAGTGGTTCAAACCTTCCAGTCTAGTCTCAGGTTCGACATCTTTGAAGAGGTGATAGTCAACTGTTATGTCAACCCTTACCACAAAGGTGGCAAAGCTTAATGAATAAATAAACAAACAAACAAACAAACAAACAAACAGGATTTGGCAATTCAGGGATGTTTCAACTACCATTGGATGCAAGTTAGGTTTATTGAACAAGTCAGTGCACCTTCACAGGGGCTGAAATCACCCAAATCCCCAGACCTTCCTTTTTTAAACCAGATAAATGTACAGTCAAACTTGTCTAAGACTACCAACTAGGGGACCGAGGAACATTGGTCTTCTTAGACAAGTGGTCTACCTAAAGTCTTAAACAAAAGGTATGGCAATACATGTCAACAGACAACAAGAAAACCACTTATGGCCAGATGGCCTGCTTATAGAGGTGGCTGCTTGTGGCAAGTTTGAAAAGTCTACCAGTCTCACCATCCAGAGGATCACCCATGGGCACCTGACTGTACGCCTTCTTCAGTCTGGCCACAACCTCATCGTGGACGGACTCGTGCAGAATCTACAAATGAGAAACCACCCATTTCATGACTTACTGGTACTACATGTTACACTGGGCTTCAAAAACAACATAGACTTTCAATTGGTAGTACAAAATTTTTCACTGCACATCAAATGAGACAAACATGCATGTACAAAACACACATACAAACATTTCAAAATTATAATTGGACATAAAGCACAATCGTGTCATCCCTAAAAAAAACATGGTCAACTAGACAGGTGGCATTTGCAAAGCAAATGCATTGCATTTACCTTTACATGGTCTACCCCAAAAAGCCTGACAAGCTACAAGTACTTCTCTCTTTATTCTTACTAAAACACATTCAATAATGGCCAGCCCATTGATCTTACTACAGGGTGTCTGCTACAGTACCAGTTACCATGGTGAAACTGACACTTGTCTGGTCCAGGTCTTTGACCTTATTTGTTTGGAGAAGAAGAATCTTAACAAAAATAAAATAAACATAAAAATGGGTAAGGAAGTTTAAAATAAAGGTGATGGGTGGGACAAACCTTACGAAACTGCTTGTTATAATATGATCAAGACACGCCAAAAAGCAGTTACTCAAGCAACTGGATATGATTTTGAAAACGTCAGACATTTCAGCTAGTATCCACTAGCTTTCGTCAGTGACTGAGAGACCAGAGGGGAAATGCAGGTTTATAAGCACAACCTATTGATTGATATGCAAATAAAGTGAAGACAAATTTTTGGAAGTCGAAAATGGAACAAAAGTCAGACAAGTCAAGACAAGATAATGCAAATTAGTCAGAAAGCTCCTGTTATACAGAACATGAGCTGAAGTGTTGTCTGTCCTCGGGGCTTGGAGTGCCAAACCCCAAGTGCCGGAAAGATCGACCCGTTAAGGGTGGGGTTGTACATTCTTTCATATATTGCCTCTTTAACACCCCGTTCCCACCAGTGTGTTTCGCAGTCTAAGATATCCGTGGACTCAAGTTTGAAAGAGTGACCCTGGTTGTGTTGTAGGTGGTGGAAAATAGCTGAGGAGTAGCTGTTGGCACTTGGTCTGCAATGTTCTTTGTATCTTACTTGAGCTCCTGTTCCATATAACAGGAGCTTTCTGACTAATTTGCATTATCTTGTCTTGACTTGTCTGACTTTTGTTCCATTTTCGACTTCCAAAAATTTGTCTTCACTTTATTTGAATATCAATCAATAGTTTGTGCTTATAAACCTGCATTTCCCCTCTGGTCTCTCAGTCACTGACGAAAGCTAGTGGATACTAGCTGTAACATCTGACTTTTCAAAATCATATCCAGTTGCTTGTCAATGAGTAACTGCTTTTTGGCGCATCGTATTACCTGGATGTCTAACCTTCATCGACGTATGATCAAGACATATTACTACATTTCCGAAACTTGCTTCCATGCTATCTGATATATGTGTGTTATCCCCATATATATAGTGTGAGGATGTCTCACCAGCCGCCTGGTGGTTGTGCACCTCTGTCCTGCTGTACCGACACAGGCGAACAGGGCGGAGCGTACCACCATGTCCAGGTCTGCGTCATCCAGCACGATGATGGCGTTGTTTCCTCCCAGTTCCAACAGAACCTTCCCTGTGGGCAGCAACAAGAACCAGGGCTCAAAATACTTTTTTCTACATACCTGAACTGGTGCAAGTTACATTGAAAATTGTCTGCACGAGATAAATTTTACTTGTATATAGTTTATCTGCATATATGAATCTATGAATCTATCTATGAATCTATATATCTATATCAATAGATATATCTATATCAATAGATATAGATATTCGACTTCCGGATTCTTTGATTTGAATAATTGGTGTATGGCAGGCCAGTCAAACAACAAAAAATCCAAGCCTTGTACATGTATGTAGGTGGAACACTTATTTAAATACCGGTATTTACGAAAGTGGGTCGTAAGGAGGAGGGGGGCATATGAGATCACAAAAAAATTGAGACTGATGATTCGTTAATATCATGCTTTGAAATAAAATCACGCTGAAGAACTCACCAAATCTCTGCTGCACAGTGGTGCCTACCACATTGCCAACCTGTGAACAAAAACATTTGTAACACTTTAGGAATGGGCTGTATCAGTCAGAGCACCTCTGAGACACTATACTGGTATCCTACTTTTAGAGGAACAAATGTTGTTATGTTTTCCCTCTGTTAAACTTCATTCTTAGGCCACACCAATTAAATTTCTTGGTTAACGGATTTTTCTGGAAAAATAATGGAGCATGCAGGCGGGTGAAAAAAGAATAAAAATAAAAACAGGCCTAGCTATAGGAATCCTATTATGGCCCAAAATGGTAGCCATGAAGGAGCCATGAAGTCAACACACCAGGCTGGTTCAAAATGTAAACAATGACTTTTGAACTTTTAATGATACCACTGCATTGAAAGATGGATTAACTGTAACAACTAGGAAGAAAAGAACTGCTTTCAACTGTTCAGGGCAAAATATGAGCATTTTGCAGTTGATTCTGAATTTTTTTTTTGCAAATCAGAAAAATTAAGCGGGCGAAACAGTTAACCAAGAAATTAAATTGGTGTGGCGTTAGTCTCATTTCTTTTAAATTTAAAATGCAAACAACACATTACACAGACTTACAGGCAGCAAAAGCTGATAAACATAAGTCTACATATATAAACATAAAGGATAAGAAGTGTGTTACATATGTACACAGCTACAACATGTGGGACATCAGATAACAATACATGATAACAATATATGTATATACATATGTATATGTATATATGTGTGACTGTATATATGTGTGTATATATGTGTATACATATATATATATATATATATATATATATATATATATACACATTTTATACACGTCGCTTTAGCATGTGTGATCAAAATAGTCTTTATCGTCTTTATCAATTATCGCCTGTAACTTGTAACAAAAAATCGGTGTATGCTTTGTAATATTTTTCATGTAATCTACCAGATATGGTAGCGCCGCACAAAATTATGTCTTTATTTCCGATATAGAGCGAATAGAGAGAGGAACATGCTTATGGTGTGTCTTTGTTCTTGGGACGCCGTTCTTCATATCCTACGCACATTTAGCCACTTTTAAACAACAGTTTGCGCTTGTGATCTATAACAATGTAAGACTTCATTCTTAGATGTTTTGTTCGTAGTCTTTGCGATACAATTTATAATGGATAGCAAAGCGGTACACTAAAAATTACTAAACTTGTTTGTACATGTGCAAAATGTGTGAATAAAGTTAATATATGTATTAAATTTTATAGTTTCTTGGTGTTTTTTGTGTCTGTGTTTGTCAAATAACTGCATAATTGCACCAAAAGCGCTGACAAATACGTGGTGCAACTAAGCGGCTTCCTCTGTGTATATATATATATATATATATATACACACACACACACATATATATATATATGTGTGTGTGTGTGTGTGTGTGTGTGTCTGTGTTTGTCAAATTTATGTTTCTGACTTCCGACCCCCGTATATATATATATCAACATAAATAGGGTTTTTGCTGTAAAATGGAAGGGAGGCTATTCTGAGTATTCCCCAGTAAGTCCGTCGTGACAGTTGCCATAGCAACAAACCTATCTGTCTGGCTGACCACCTCTGGGTGGTCCGTCCGGGCACCATTCATTCAGTCAGTCGGTCGCCAGCTACCCGCGAGGACCTACTAACCTTTCGCTGTACCAACTGACAAAACATTTTACTTTCGCCAGCTACCCGCGAGGACCTACTAACCTTTTGCTGTACCAACTGACAAAACATCGTGAGGACAACGCCTGGCCGGACCACTTGACCCGTGGCCTTGTGAGACCCGCACGTCGCCAAGCTCAGTCTCCCGTGCGGTGAGTTTTGTTCGTTGACATATCAACATGGACGACGGTCTTAGATCCGTCCTCGTTTCGGGTCACTCTTTTGTCAAACGGTTAGAAAGATTTATCTCTTCCCGTACCACCACGCAAACCGGCCGCGCGGTTTCACGAGACTTCTGGCTGTCCCGGGCCTGTGTCGAGTTTTACGGTCTCCCCGGCTGTAACATCCCTCGCTATCGCGCCCGTATTCTACCGTACATTCAGGCTTTTCCAAGTGACATTATATATATAGAGTTAGGAGTAGTCGATTTGTGCAACCCCAACCTATCACCTGAATTAATCGCTCGAAATCTTGCCAGCCTTGCCTTTTCCCTACAAAACATCCCAGCCGTTCAATCTGTCATATTGGGGGCTCCAATCTGGCGTCTCCATAATCCACCCAACATGTCTGACTTTCCTCAGCGCCTCCACAAATTCACAAGAGTTATCACAAGGTCACAGTATGGGACCACAGGCGTCTGTGGAGACAAAACCCAAACTACTTTGCCCCTGACGGCCTACATTTGTCCGATCTGGGAAATCTCCAGTATTACAAAAGTGTGCGCGGGGCTGTAGATCTAGACCGCCACCTAAAGCACATTTAAATCAAAACGTGTTCGCTTGTCCCTTGTGGACCCCTTTCCTTTCTCATTCCGGCACAATTTGTGCCCGATTGGCTGGTTTCCCTGTTTCGTTCGCACACGCACTGGTGTTGGTTTCTTTCACGCAGTTAGGCGTGTTTTGGCCGGGTTGTTGACATGAGACACATGTTAATATATTTGAGACAATCTCTATCCTACATCATGCCTCGACCGTGTTGATACTATGGTTTGTGATGCAACAGAATAAAAGGTTGCATATCTCGCCAAACAAGAAATGTCTCTTCTGTTTATTGTGTTTGATCCTCCCTAGTTAAACTGACTGTCATTCCGTGAGTTTGGAAGCAAAAGGCCTTTTGCCCCGCAAAATAGGGTTTTTGCTGTAAAACGGAAGGGAGGCTATTCTGAGTATTCCCCAGTAAGTCCGTCGAGACAGTTGCCAAAGCAACAAACCTATCTGTCTGGCTGACCACCTCTGGGTGGTCCGTCCGGGCACCATTCATTCAGTCAGTCGGTCGCCAGCTACCCGCGAGGACCTACTAACCTTTTGCTGTACCAACTGACAAAACATTTGACTTCCCGCCCCCCCTCGCCGTTTTCCAACCAAATTGATCACCCTAGCCCAACATCTAACCGCACAACACTTGTCCTCTGGCGGGCCCGTTGGTTACAACAACAAAAAAATGCCATGTATCTACACGGCCGCTCGGTTTGCCAATATGGCGGCTAGACTGCACCTTTTGTCCGCTATATCGGACGCCTTATGTCACATTTGCTACAGGTCCGTATTGTATGTTGTTACCTTTCTGTCCGCTCGATTGGCTGGTAGCGGTCAGAGATTGTTTACACGTGGTGTCTGTTATACTTGGCAGACCCGTGTAACGTGTTACGGTGCTTCCTATTGAAGCCCGTATTGTTTATTGTTACTTTTCTGTCCGCTTGATTGGCTGGTAGTGGTCAGAGATTGTTTACACGTGGTGTCTGTTATACTTGGCAGACCCGTGTAACGTGTTACGGTGCTTCCTATTGAAGCCCGTATTGTTTACTGTTACTTTTCTATATATATACTTCTACTCCCTTTAGACCTACCAAATGTAAATCCAGATGAAAAACGTGAATGTATCATGTTTTATATCATACCCGGGCCGCGATAAAGTTACATAACGGGTTCCGGACCGGGCCGTACTTTACGGTACGGCCCAGGCTCCATGGCTTCCATTGAACGATTCGAACGCGTGTGCCGCTTTCGAAAATTCGAATACAGAATCAGGACGTTGGAACTGATGTTGTTGCATCTGAGGGTTCAGCGGCACCAACTTTTGGCTCATCTTGCATTGAAAGGTGCGTTTTCTTGGGTGGGTATGACATAAAATACAACACGAGGTATTACGCAGTTGGGCCGACACCTCGGGCGATACGTAATACCCCGTGTTGTATTCCGTGTTGTATGTACTAACCGGAGTGCTGCCGGTGAAGGACAGCAGGTTGACGTTGGTGTCTGTAGCCATGGCCTGCCCGATGTCCGTACTGCCCTGGACCAGAGAGCAGATCGCACCTGGCAGGTTGTTGGCCTCCAATACCGACTGGAGGATTCTGGGAACCAACAAGACACGATTCTTTACATCTCCTTAAACACAAGGAAGTTCAAATCAGTTCTAGCAGATTTTAATTAATACTTTCATGTTAATCTGCTGTGGATGTTGGAACTTGCATTTACATGAGACTTACTTGGTAATGGCTACACTGACAAGTGGTGTTGTGGGTGCTCCTTTCCTGTAAAAAACAAGGTAGTAGATTTTAACAATGAATAAATGAAGACATTTATTGTGCATTATCATATAGCCAGATAGTGTTGACCAATCAGAGGTCCCCATTTGCTATATATGTTAGGTGTGATAACCACCTCATAAACCACCTCGTTCGCTACGCTCACTTGGTGGTTTATTCGGTGGTTATCACACCCGACCAGGGATTATCTCACCATATACACCTCGGGGCGAGGCATTAACCCTTTCTTCATACCTACAGGTCACAGCTTGTGTATACACTACATGTATACATTAAGTTATCACATGTACATCCACATGGTCAAGACATCACTACCACTATAACCTACTTCTCCTCGCTTCTCTGTGATAGTGAAAAGATACAGACATGTTTTAGGATAAGTTTGTCTAAGCTCATCAGAAATGTGAGTTTGTCTGCATTACTTAGGTATATGAAGTAGAGAAACATTGATGTTTTCATTCTTAAATGTTTGACACTTTTATTGCTGTACAAACTACATTCTACCATGGAGCTCCATGATTCTACAACAGAATAATTTTCATCTTCTATCTCTGTATCTGTGTATCATTATAGCCGGTATAACCGCCCTTCGGCGTAACACACCAGCTTCGCAGGCACGCGGCGTGGCAGCAGCTAGCTATATCACACCGCACATTTAATTACAGGAGTTGTTTAAAGCTTTCTAGTGATGGTGGCCCCAACTGTGCTTGGTGGCAACGAGTTCCAGTCTATGATAGTTCTGGGGAGTTTTTCAACACCTCACTTCTTGGTTGATAACTCTGATATTTGAATTGATTGATATCTAAATTTAACATAAATCATCCAACATTATACTTGCCATGACAAGAACATGAAATATTGAAACAACAACAAAGAGAGAACTATGTGTGTGTATGTTGTACAGTTCCTACCATATACAGACGTTGCCGCAGGTGAGAGCGATGGAGCTGTTCCAGCCGTACACGGCCACAGGGAAGTTAAAGGCCGTGATGATCCCCACCAGACCCAGGGGGTTCCACTGTTCCAGCAGGGCGTGGCCAGGACCTACAGGGGACAGGTTAGACTGGGAATGTACTACAGACACAACCCTGAGGAATTTCATCAGGTTGGTGAATGATTGAATAATTATCTCTATGAAAAAGGTACATGTATTGTTTTTGGCGTGTCTGTGTGTGTGTGTGTGTGTGTCTGTGTGTGTGTTTGTGTTTCCGCACATTTGTAGTCAGCATAACTTCATTTATGGATTATGATGATATTTGGTATGTTGGTTAAGTCTTAGGAAGAAAAAGGTCAAGGTCAAATATGGGCCTCCTGGTGGATGACCTTGGTACTGCAGCAGAACTTCCGGTTTTTGTATCTTTTGTCCTGAACATGCTATGGTCTTGACTATTTGGTGACAGATTGCTTTTCCTGTCAGGAATATGTGGTGTGAGTTTGGTCCCCTTACATGTGTAGCAGCTTGTGCTGGAACTACAGGGCACTTTCTGGCAAAATCTTTAAAAGCCAGTAAGTGCAGATAGGAACAAGCTATTTTCATCATTTTTGGTGTGTAGGTAGCTGAGAGAGAGTTGTACATAATTAAATGCAAATTATGCAAATGAGGACTTAATTTGCATAATTAATGAGAAGATACTATAATTACAGTGTTTTATATAATAGTACTTTTATACATGTAATCTATTTAATATGTGGCAGGCGGAACATCAAGCTAATTGTCTTCGTCAGAAGGACTATGAAATTGTCTCGCCGCATTGTGGGAACTGCGGATTTTGCGATATAACTCTGGCAGGCATGATTCGACGTCCATGATTTTTGGCAGGCAGATTACGGTACCGTTGTTGAGGCCGAAGTCAAGTGCAAGTTTTGGCTTTGTGGGGGGTCCGTGCGTTACGTTAGTGCACCTTTTGTGTTTGTGGCTTGTTAGCAAAATAACTCGAGTATATGTACATTGATGTTTATATATGTTTTTTTGTAGGCAACTTACTATTGTTGAGACCAAGGTTAAGTTCGTTAATGGGCTTTGTGGGGGGTTCCGTTGTCCGATGTCCTAGTTAAAAGTTAAAAATTCATTGTTTAAATTTTGGACCAGCCTGGTGTGTTGACTTCATGGCTCCTATCGTACCATTTTGGGCCATAATAGGATGCCTAGGCCTGTTTTTTTTTTCGCCCGTCCACTCCTTTTTTTTTTCTCCTTTTTTTTATAGAAAAATCCATTAACCAAGAAATTAAATTGGTGTGGCCTAAGACAAAAAAAAAAACATTTACAAAAACTCATATATTTCATGGAGGTGTGAGATCTCCGAATTCTTGTTAAGATCTTTATTCACAAGAGCTTGTTTGGGTTCTCGGCCTAGGATGTCTGTGGATTTGAGATTAAGGGGGCACACCCCAGTCTATTTGGGGTCTCTATTCAAAGCTGCACACCCTCAAATCTAGCGACCGTCTCTGGCGTGGAATAATTCGGAAGGAGAATAACTGTATCTGGGACGAAAGGATATCTCTTCAGCTACAAGACCAGCTGAGTTTGCAGGGTTGGACAAGTCCCATTGCCCACTTGCCCAGGGCAAGTAAAAGTACTGTTCGGGCAAGTGAATATCCCCCTGTACTTGCCCGATTGGGCAAGTAAATTTTATGGATGCCAAGTATAGCCACTATGGTGTTTGGAGCAAAATTACTCATCATTTTGCCATATTGATATTATATTAATGCCCTTTTGTCAGAAAATCCATTGCAAGTCTCAAACCGCCTTATTTTGATAAATTAAGCATGTAGCATTATAAACTCTGAAATGAAATAATTTCCTTGCTGCTAGTAAAAATGCATAAAAAATGTCATGTATATTTTGGGCAAGTGAAAAGTTGGTTCGGGCAAGTGAAAATGACCATGTACTTGCCCAATAGGGCAAATGGATTTTTGAAAACTTGTCCAACCCTGGTTTGGTTTCTTCAACCTTTTTAAATTTGGCAAAATCAATGGAAAAAACATTACTTACACTCCAAAATTAATGTACAAAATTGGGAATTTTCGCGTAGGATAATCCCATAGAAAAAAATTTTCCGGCAGAAATGACTGATGCTGGCAGAAAGACCCAAACCTTGACTATAGCCGAGTAAATTATAAAGAAAATTCTAATAATAGCTTCAACTAATATTTTCTAAACCGTCCACGGCGCGAGGGGTTGCAAATCCACCCCTAGGAAGGCACAGAGCGAAATCTAGGTCAAACAGGCGGATTACACATGGCGCGCAAGGATACCCGGAAGTAAGGTTCAGAGCCAAAAGATATTTTCACCCCAAAATCATCATTTCTTACAGTCTCTTCAGCCATGTTAATGTTTAATGATATTTCATGGCAGTTTATGAGACCTCAAACTTGGACCCTCAAAACCCTTTCGTCACTTTTTTACTGCGCACTATCGCGGACCCGTCGCAGAAGAACTTTTTCGCCAGTGTCTTCACGAACGAGGACACTGTTAACATCCCTAGTATGCCGGCGAGAGCAGTAAACTCCATGTTGGAAGGGCTGGACATAAGTGAAGAGACTGTGGGAGGGAAATTAACTGAGTTGAATCCATCAAAGTCAGCAGGACCAGATGGTCTACACCCTCGGCTCCTCAAGGAACTAGCACAAGTCCTGGCATATCCATTAGCAGTCATTTTTAAGAAATCACTGGACAGCGGTCTCTTGCCAGAGGACTGGAAAGTGGTGCATATAACCCCCATTCACAAGAAGGGCAGCAGACAAGAGCCGGGGAACTACAGGCCCGTGAGTTTGACTTCTGTTGTTGTTAAAGTACTGGAGTCCATCATTAGGGATGCACTGGTTAAACACCTCATGGACAACAGCCTACTTACAGACTCCCAGCACGGCTTTGTCCTGAGAAGGTCATGCACTACGCAGTTACTCGTGGTCATGAATGACTGGTCACAGTAAATAGAGAGGGGGGAACCTGTGGACAGTGTCTACTTGGACTTTAAAAAAGCTTTCAACTCACTCCCACATGAGAGGTTGTTGGTGAAACTTCAAGCGTATGGGGTGAGGGGGAACATCCTAATGTGGATGAGGGGCTTCCTCAAGGACAGGAAACAGCGGGTGGTGATAAATGGAGTGCAGTCCAAGAGGCGAGACGTTGGAAGTGGCATCCCTCAGGGGAGCGTTCTCGGCCCCACCTTGTTCGTGATTTTCATCAACAACCTGCCAGACGTTGTGAGCAGTTCAGTGAAAATCTTTGCTGATGACAGCAAGATCTACAGGCCCATTTGTTCGCAGGATGACCAGGATTCACTACAGCGTGACCTCCAAGCAGTAGAGAACTGGTCAGCAGTGTGGCAACTACCTTTTAATGCAGGAAAGTGCAAAGTTCTACACCTTGGGAGAGGGAATCAGAGAGCCGACTACTGTCTGGGGGGGGGGGCAAGTACTGCAACACACTGAAGTGGAAAAAGGGGTACAAGTGGACGAGCATTTAAGTTTTCATGTCAACACTGCTGAGGCAACCCAGAAGGCCAATCAAGTGCTTGGTCTAGTCAAGAGAACATTCTCCAACCTGGACGAAGAAACCGTGCCACTGTTGTACAAGTCCATGGTGAGGCCACACCTGGAGTACGCTAACACACTCCCACACTTCAAGGGGGATCAGAAGCTAGTGGAAAAGGTGCAGCATAGGGCCACTAAGTTGGTGCCTTCACTTAGAACACTCCCATATAGCGAGAGGCTGAAGAAGCTGAAGCTTCCATCACTCAAATTTAGAAGAGACAGGGGAGATATGATACAGGTTTACAAGTTTCTCACAGGGAAGGAGAGAGTAGACCCCGAGCTTTTCTTCCACCTTGGAAACCAGCAAGCAACTAGAAGACACTGTTACAAGCTGACTGTGCCCTTGGCCAAGTCCACAGTTAGGCAGAATTCTTTTAGTGTTAGGACAGTCAACAAGTGGAACTCCTTGTCAGATGTTGTTGTAGAGGCAGAGTCCGTTAATGCCTTCAAGTCAAGGTTGGACATGTGTTGGGAGGAGAGGAAGTACCTGGAATGACAAGAGGGTGGCACAACAGGCGATGCCTTCAGCCACCAATACATCCTCAAGGTATCCTCAAGGTATCTGTAAGGTCATGTGATCCAGTCTGCAACTACCTTACGTTTGTAATCTGCAACAGCAAAAATATTGCAAGCACCAGATATTAAAAAAAAATTCTATATTAAACAATAATCTATCAGCTCAAAAACATTTTCTACCATTCTTTTATTTTATTTCATGAAGATTTACCACATTTGTGGAAGGATTGACATAACAGGTGACTATCACCTCTTCAAGATGTCAAACCTGTGACCAGAAGATTTGAACCACTCACACCGGGAAGGTCCCCTACTCTTTTTGATAAGTGTGGAGGGTTCTTTAACGTGCGTGGGATGTGGCTCTCCCTAAACACGGGACCTCCATTTAACGTCCTATCCATGGGACGTCCCTAACCGAAGCTAGGTACTCATTTACACCTGAGTGAAGTGAGGAAAGTTGTGTAAAGTGCCTTTCCCAAGGGCACAAGATCGGTGACATGGTGGGGTTCGAACCCGTGACCTCTTGTGTGGTGTGAGTCGAACGCGCTACCGACTGCGACACACAACCCCACTATAAAGATTTAAGTTATGTGTCAAAATTATGTATATTATAAATTTACTAGGATTTTAAATGATTTTAACTTTATCTTTTTTTGATATACAGGCATTTCATCCCATTTCATCTGACCCTTAAGCTCTTCAAGTCTAAGGTCAACAAACATTTGTCCACTCTGGCTGTTCTGTAACCCAAAACATTTTAAGTGGCTCCCATGAGCCTTGTTTTGTGGTGACCGATGAAGTAAATAAAAAAAAAACCTTCAAAGAAAAGTGGCCTGCAGGCCAATTTGAGATCCTCATGACTAAATAACAGTTCTAACAAACAAATCTTACGTTCTGAAGGCAGGACTCTCCCAGCGAACATGCGTGACAGCCCCACGGCGTAGTCACACACGTCAATGTACTCCTGCACCTCCCCCACACCCTCAGGCCTGATCTTCCCCATCTCCAGGGACACCAGGGCACCCAGGAGGTCAACCTTCTCCCGCAGAGCATGGCCGATCTGCCGCACAACCTCACCACGTTTGGGAGCTGGCACCTTGTACAACAAAAGGAAGAAAGAACATCTCACCAGATTGCCATGTCTCTCCTTTATGCATTCCAGAGAAAAACTCAACTAGAATATAGAAGTAGATGAAGATAATAATCTCCAGGGCTCAAAATACTGGGTGCATATGCACCTTAGTGCACCCAAATTTGGAGCTGTGCACCCAATTTTTTTCTGTGGGTGCACCTATGCACCCAAATACTTTTGTAGGTTTTTGTATGTAAAGCTGTTAAATGTAGTAGTATGCAGCATATTTTTTTTACATCCAAGTATCAGAAAATAGTAAAATCATTGTTGTAGTACTTTTCTTTAGAAATGAAGTATAATTAGTTATTGCTGACATTCTAGTTATTCTATTAATAATTTTTTCTATGGTGCACCCAAAAAACTTTTGTGCACCCAATTTTTTAGGTTGGGTGCACCAGTGCACCTATTCCCAAAAATGAATTTCGAGCCCTGAATCTCTGTAATTCCTTTTAAGGCCACACCAAGTAAATCTTATGGATGACGTCCGCGCGCGCATTGATTTTGGCCTGTTCCTAGAAAAAAAACAAGAAATTCTGCTTCCTGTAACTATGACCAAAGGGTCACGACAGTGGCGCAAACCGTCAGATTGACCTGAAACCCGTAATGCGAAATGGGTAAAGGGCACAAAAATGTGATGAAAGAAACAGGACAGGACGACAACTGCTGTTCCACCTGATTTATTGCTGTTTTGATGATGAATAAAAGACTTCTTGCTTGTTACACTGTGTCACCTCATTCAAGTTGTGTCCTAACATTTGTCGTCTCTTAGTATATTTCTAATCTAGGCATCTTGTTTTTTAGGGCCCTTGTTTTTTTTGCCCTCTCGCATCAGATTTAGGGTCTCCAAATCCATAAAATTTACTTGGTGTGGCCTAACACAACAAAATCATAACATTTGTTTTCTAGATTTCAGGGCTCGAAATTAACATTGTCCCAGTGTCAAATGACACTAAATTTTCAGCTTGGGACAATTCAAATTACGTTTCGGGACAATTTTGGGGCAATTGGAAAATTCTAAGACCATCCACGTCATTTGGGAACGCGATCCATCCATCCTGCTGCAGACTGCTGGCAGCCTATAAATATATAATACTCTGACAAACATTTAAATTTGACCAATCAGGGATTCCAAATATCAGGGACGGTGCCATGCCCATGATATTATCATGTATTTCCCTACATTTACTAATAAAGTGGACTTCAAGTTGTACAAATTCAGTTGTTGTTTTCTTATTTTTGTCATCAACTTATTTCCTGAAAAGCAGGCTGGGACAGTCCATCTTCAGTTCGGGACAATTGAAATCTATGTTCGGGACAATTCTGGGACAATAGTGAAAAAAGTTAATTTCGAGGCCTGGATCCATGCAGCATTATGTATTATTATGTATCTGCTTTACTTTTTGTAACAATGTATTGTATTGTGAATGATAATAAAGTTTAATAATAGTCTTATACTAGTGTTAATCATTTCTATGACTATGGCTCTGTTCCCACTAAGATGAATTCATCTGGACCAAACTGAATAGATAGGACACCGGCTTGGTGACCGGCTTCAATCCAGGCAATATTATCCCAGTGAGAACACTCTCTCTCTGGCTCGGCTCCAGATGATGCCAGTCAGCAGCACATCTGGTGAGGTAGACAGCAGCTGAGCTGCATTGAGTCAAACCCAGCCAGATAGGGAGTGTTCCCACTGGGGTAAAGTTGACCGGATTGAAGCAAGTTGCCAATCTATTCAGCTCAATCTGGACAATTTTTCCTGGTAGGAACAGAGCCTACAGATGGGAACAATACATCATAACAATACTGGTACAATAATACAGAAAGAGGTGTGATCTTTTGATCAGCATGTGACAATGAGTCAATGACACTGTAAATATACATTGTACAGACAGGTAGAAATGTAAGGAAAAATCTACTTTGAGACTTTACCTAAGGCCACACCATCTTAATTTCATGGATGACATCCTCTGAAGACCCCCAAACTAGTGCGCGGGCAAATAAAAAAAATTCCAGCCAAAAATAAAAATGCTACTAAACCACACTGACAGGAATACAAAGCTCAGGTATTGTGAATTTGCGGCAGTACATAGCGACGTATACGACAACCCGGCACATACTGGCTTTTTGCAGAATTTATGAATTGGCACATACGTATGTACGAATATTTTTTTGTTTTTTCTTTTAAAAGCAGGCAAAAATCAATGTGCGCGTGTATGTCATTCATAAAATTAAGATGGTGTGGCCTGATGTCCAGCCTTCTCTGAACTAAAAATGAAGTGACACATCTTTAGAGAGAGAATTAGACAATTAGAGGAATGATTTTGATTTGATGGATTGAAGCTTACATCTGCCCAAACGTCCCAGGCTGCCATGGCCTTCTGTACAGTGTCTCTGTAGTCCTCCACATTGCCCTGTGTCACCTTGGCGATAGGCTCCCCATTGGACGGGCACATGGAGGTCACCACCTGAGAACGTCAACAACATGACGTTAACATATGTCCTTATAATTGATACAATTCTGGTGTTACTGATGAACCAATATGTATGTTTTCACTTGTCAGTCATCTTCTTAATCTTTAGGACTATCAAGGACTGGTGTGTTACGCTGAAAGGCGGAATATAACTTGTTACCGGCTATACAGATACCTTGATACCCTTTAGCCGTGGCGACTCTTGATTCGGGCTTACATTGCATTACCCTCAGCAAGAGGGTAATGCAATGTAAGCCCGAATCAAGAGTCGCCACGGCTAGATACCCTTCAGATACAGATACAGACCGCCTTGTAGCATCAAAATTGATGAGATCATGGGAGGGAGAGAGATCAACATGTAACGTTACAAGAGAGAGGGAGAGAGATAGAGGGCCTCTATCTCTCTCCCTCTCTCTTGTAACGTTCTCAGGGAGAGGGAGAGAGACAGAGCAACATGTAAAATTATGCCCCCCTCCCACTTTTGCCTCCCTCACTACAGAGAAATGAACCCGAGTGAACCCGTCCGTGCCACGTACCTCGCCCCTGCCGCCCCATTCTCCATTAAACACGCCCTTGTTCTCGGCAGAAAGCCCCAGCTGCTCCAGCCAGGAGTATTTCTCTTGCTCAATCAACATGCTGGCGGAGGATAGTCTCCTGCAGTGGGACAGAGAAGACCGGATGACTAGAGCTTGCCTCGTGACACGCAGTATGGTCGCCATGCATGTGGTGCAGAGTGGTGCAGAGGGATGGCAGCAGTGGGGTTAAAGGTCAAAACGCATGCCCAGAGTTGGAGACAAACACCACGAGGTTTGAAATTTGAGAAATCTTCCATCATTCAACAACTACAATTACATCCAAATTGGTAACCGACCGTGTGCATACCTTTAGTTTCAACGACGGTACTCACATTTTGCCATAGAGCTGCATTGTGCACTTTACAAATCCCAACTAGAGTTCCACGATCTCATACCTTCGCCAAATGATGTTAGCCTTTATGACTAAGAAATTATAGATGAATCCCCCTGATTGTGCAAATAGGATCCTATATTGCATCAATTATATCTGTTGATCATATTCTACACCAGAAGACAGTCTTATCTTATCAATGCATGCCATCGTAGCATGTCCTCATAAATTATGCAAATGAGGTCCTTATTTGAATAAGTTATGTTTAATTATGTTCACCTTCACATAACTTTAAAATATCCCAAGTATGAAATTCCAGACATTACCACTGTGTAATTATAACGTTTTCTCGTTAATTATGCAAATGAAGTCTTCATTTGCATAATCGATATCTGTCTGTATTTCTGCCGTTCTGAATTACATATGTCACAAGCTTGAATAGTCCTATCATGGAATGCAGATGATTTATAGAATTTCCTCATTAATTATGCAAATTACATTAATATTTGCATAATTGTAACATCATTATGTCAATCATCACTTCAGCTACTTACATGCCAAAGATCACGGCGATCCATCAATCGGTTCTTGAGTTATCCGCCTTTGAACATTTTTCAACTAATGCCCCTGCAGTTCCAGAGCAAGGCGCTAGGGGGCCCAAACTCACGTCACTCGTTCTCCAGCACAAGAGCTACCTTCCATTCAAATTTCGTCACCCTAGCATGTCTAGATCACGAGATATCAAAACCGGAAGTTCAGCTGCAGTACCATAACAAGCCGCTAGGGGGCCCAAAATCTAATCAGTTCCACGTCTCATGAAGACCTACCTACCTACCAAGTATCAAGACAATCCATCTTAGCCTTCTTGAGTTATCGTGCTCACACACACACACACACACACACACACACACACACACACACAGACACACGAACGCCAACGAAAACATAACCTTCTTGGCGAAGGTAATAATTATGGTGGTCGTAAGGAAGAACCCCTGTCTTGGGAGGATGATTGAAGGACTCTTGAAGGTAGCAGAACACAGTTTTCGCCCTATGGGGATTTCTATAGTTAGGACCCCAAGATGACTCACTTCGACGCGGTAAAAATTATAGCAGGGTGCACTTCACAAATACGAAAATCGAATATGTTTCAGAAGAAGGTACAAACTACGAAATATCTAGAAACAAAAAAATCCTGTCGGCGTATCTGCTCGTAACGTACACTTTGAAATCGCCCTCTACGGACGTGACCTGAACTGCAGCCGACTCACCCGGAAAGCCAGTTGCGCAATACGGCGCATTTATACACGAACTGCAAAACCTTCAAATCATACAGTCTCAAACCCGATACATTCCTACACCACACAGCACAATTTACATCTGGCTGACGCTCTTATAAGGCTTTCTACCCAGCCTTCAAGAATATTCGCTGCACTACTTTCTATACCCGCGTCACAGACCGCGGGGGTCGCCCATTAATACTGTGTTCTGCTACCTTGAACCAACTTGACCTTGGATTTTCTTTCGGTCAGTCGACAAAACTAGACAAGATGCGAAACTTGGCCAAATTTTAGTTCACAACTCCAAACGGTTGCTGATATATTGCCAACTTTGCACTTCGGCACCTGCCACAGGGCTAGGGCCCGTCCAAGGCCCGTACGAGGGGCCATTTACTTAGTGGTCCCATTATCCGATAAAATGTACTACATTGTATTCTGGCCCTCTTTTTCTTGTTAACAATGATCATTTGTGCCTACTCTAACATTTAGAGTGATTTTTACTTAGTGTAAGGCTTGTTTACGGCAAAAGGGGGGGGGGGGGTGAACGCGGCTTCGTGCCGGTGGCACTTCCCTACTAAGTCCCATAGTTAAGCATAGTCGGCGGTCATAGCGGGCCGTTGCCATGGCAACGGGGGTCTGACGGTGAAACAAACAGGTACATTTCAAGTGAGTCTACGTCAGTACTTGGTATACTAAGAAAATTTGGTCGAAAATACCGCTGCTTGGAATTAATGACCAATTCCCGTGTCTATTGAATTCTCAAGCTGTTGAACCAAACCCCCGACACACGCCCTTTCTGCGTCAGATCCTTTCCGCTTATTGATTACAAAATGTACACTCTTGTGCTTCTCAACAAATTGACCAGATTTGTGAATATTATCTATTATAACGTTACATTTTCCAACGATACTTCAGAGGGAAATGTAATAGCAGTGCGTTACCGTATTTGGGTATGACTCATCAGAAGGGCATGCAGAGCAAGCAACCAATAGGCATGCAGGTTTCCTCTATTCTTCTTGATGATTGGCTGTTTTGATCTGATTGGGTTCACTCAATTAACACCTGCACAAAGCCATTCCAGCATGAACTCAAGTGTTTTGGTAGGTAAAGCACAGGCCATGACACGTATCAATTTCGCGGTACGTTCTGCGGGAGGATGCGGGACGTCTTGCGGGAGAGTGCGGGACGTCCTGCGGGAGAGTGCGGGACGTCCTGCGGGAGAGTGCGGTACGTTCTGCGGGAGAGTGCGGTACGTTCTGCGGGAGAGTGCGGTACGTTCTGCGGGAGAGTGCAGAATTTAACAGAACTTTCGCAGAACTAATCACTGGTAATGGGAAACGCCATTGCGAAACTTCTTTTGGGTAAGAAATCTTTCGCGAGATTTCGGCCGTTAATGAGCAGTCTTTTTATTCTGAGATTTACATGACATGACGCTAAAACTGCCAGACATTTTGCTCTTCTCCGTTGGAACGCAAGCGGGAGGTCAATGACCTGCGCCCCGCGAGTAAACAAAGTTACAAACACGGTTAACACGTAATGTGTATGGTCAGCGCGTGCGCGCCACGGTAGCAACAATTTTCCACAATCTTCACCGACTACATGTATAATCTACAACTAGTATTATTATTTCACTCCATACTTCAGTATGGAGTGAAATACTGCTTTTTCTGATGTTTCTTCTCCTTCTCCTCCTTCTTCTTCTCCTGCCACTTCTTTAAATTGATTCAACTCCTTCATTTTTGGGCGAAATTACCTGTAATTTCGTATAGAGGTAGAGTGGGTAAATACCCTTAGGCGTTTTTTAAATTTTTTTGATACAAGCTTTTACAATCGTTTTATTTGCTTTTTAGTGGTCCCCATAGGAAAGTACTGTGGGGGCGTACGCGCGTGACGTAATAAGAAAGGAATTCGGGGGAAGGCCCAAATATGGGCATACAAGCAGGTGTGGTCATGTTTGCAGATGTGGCTGTTGATTGGCTGTTGGCTAATTAATTCATTTACTACCATTTTCACGTACAATAGGGGGATTACCAGCGCGGCTGGTCAACGCGGTCTCGGCCGTGGGCCATCGGCTGGTCCAAGCGGTCTCGGCCGTGGGCCATTACTATTTGATACTCTGATATTGGATACCGATTCGTGTGATTCCTATAAACATTTCACCTAACTACGAACTAGTTGGAAGAATTATAGCTGCATGGATGCCTGTATATGATTTTAACAAACACTGAAAATCTGACGCAAAAACTGGCAGATATTTTGCTCTTCTCTGTTGGAACAACGCAAGCGGGAGGTCAATGACCTGCGCCCCGCGAGTACTGTAAACAACGGTACGTAATGTGTATCGTCGGCGCACGCGCGCGCGCCACGGTATCAACAATTTTCCACAATCTTCACCGACTAGTATTATATATTCTGTTATCGATTTCTGAAGAATCACCAAAATTGTAGAGTGTACAGGCGTTCATTTGTTGTTGCTGAGAACATCGCAAGACGGCTTCCTGGCAAATTTTCCTAAAGCGAGCGTTGAGGGCTTGCATGCCCGACAGTTTTCAAAGATTGGACAGGGAGCCGGCGGCTTCTGCTAGCCGGATTGATAGTTACGTTACATCAAGGTACCGGTGGTTCAAAAGCGAACCTGATAAAGAAGGAAATCTCCTAGAAAGTCCCTTACTAGTACTTGAAGCGATCGTTACCGCCATGTTGTTCACTTTATATGACATACAATGCAGAGAGTAATGGAAACGCGTCCAGATAGCTCGGTTGGTAACGCGCAGGGCTGCAAGTCCAGACATTGCGAGTACGAACCCCGGTACACCGGATATTTTTAATTACCCTTTTTAAAATTTTTAACAATTTTAACATTTTTAACAATTTCAACAATTTTAGCCATTTTAACCATTTTACATTTTAACAATTTCAACATTTAATTTTAACATTTTCGTTTTAATATCCATTGCTTTGCTTTTAACATTCCAAAACTGGTTGTTCTTACTCAAGAATTTCAATAACTTCGAATGTTAGTCTTTTGTATTTTTTCAACATACAAACCAAAATCACTTTGATGTTGTCACAAAAGTAACATCTGTGCGCGCATCGGTTTTCGTTCATTTAAAAACTACAAGTACAAAACATCTGGAAACTAAGCAAACATACTCAGTAAATTGATTGCTGGAATACTGTGATATCATCTGGGACAACAGCAGCTCAACACTCAAACGACGACTACAGATTCTTCAGAACAGGGCTGCCAGGATCATACTCAGGCGAGACCCCAGAGCTATTATATAAACGTCGAAGAACTGCATCAAACACTACAATGGGGGTATCTGCAGGATCGGAGAACTCAGCACTTATGCATTATGGTTTACAAATGTTTACATGGTTTAGCACCTAGCTATCTACTCAACACTTTTACCTATAACAGTCAAATCCACAGTTATAATACCAGACAGGCTCAACAGCTACACAGACCAAAATACACATCTCGAACAGGCCAACGAACGTTTGCTTTCAGAGCGGTTTCCATCTATAACTCCCTCAAACCAGCGACAAAATTAGAAACCACTCTGAATTCATTCAAA